GCCAGTGTAGAGCAGGGGTTGGGCCTGTTTTTCTACCACTTAAATGTTTTGTTTTGTTTTGTTTTTAGTGAGGCAGTTGGGGGTTAAGTGACTTGCCCGAGTCACACAGCTAGGAAGTATTACGTGTCTGAGGCCAGATTTGAACTCAGGTCCTCCTGACTCCAAGGCCGGTGCTCTATCCACTGCCTACCTAGCTGCCCCTCTACCACTTAAATTTTAAAGTTTTATTTAACCTTATTTACAAGGCCTATACAAAAACAGTTGATAGGCCCTCTATGTGGGCTATGGTTTGGTGACCCTAGTGTAGAGGGTTGTACAGGGTATGGAATATTGCATGAGGCAGCATGGTTGGAATTAAGGAGCCATTCAAAGCATTTCAATTAGAGGGGGCCCTGTGTGGTTCTGTGATATATGACTGGGTGATTCAGTGCCTTACTGGACAGCACTGAAACCTGCAACAGATTATTAGTGGTGCTTTTGGTAAAGAGACTGGTATGGCCTCAATATCTTGAGTATTCTTGGAGATGGATGATTTCTTTAGGAAGGAAAGGAATAGGGACTAAGGTTGCTCTAGTTAATGCAGTTCAATAAAAAGACAGAAACAGAGCAGCCTCTGGGAGAAAATCATTTCTGTTGAAATGTTGAACATCTCTATGTTGGGATGCAGGATAAGACCAAAGAGACAAAATGAAGGAGATACTAGATGAAGTGGATTTTCTGTGGTGCTAGTGTCCTATTATTAGAACCACATCTCCATGTCCAAGGCTACTTTGCTGACTTTTCCTCTGCCCTGAAAGTCGCAGTGCCTGCAACCTTGACATGATCTTTCCTCTTCCAGGCCTTGATCAACCGAGGGGTGAATCTGGATCCCTTGGGTAAATGGTCAAAAACTGGACTGGTGGTGTATGACTCTTCTGTGCCCATTGGTGAGTCAATTCTCCTTTTTCCCGGACCTTTTTCTGCCCTTCCCTCCTTCTTTATGTTTGTACAAGCATTTCCCCATTCCTAGGAATGTAGAAAGGACTTCTCTTGTCCCTCAGTGCCCGTTTTCCTTATAACTTGCATCATAGTTTTTTGTGTACATCTCTCACCCTCTCACAAAGTTGTTAGCTCCTGTCTTTTCATATGTTTGACCCCAGTGTCATTTATATAGGTGCTTTATGTTTGTGGAATCCCACTGATCCCACCCTTTTCTGCCTCTCTTTTGTCTTTCCAGGGGCTACTCCTGAGTACTTGGCAGGGCACTACATCCTTCAAGGTGCTTCCAGTATGCTGCCTGTCATTGCCTTGGCACCCCAGGAGCACGAGCGTATTTTGGATATGTGTTGTGCCCCTGGTGGCAAGACTAGCTACATAGGTAGAGAAGTGGCAGAACAGAGACATTTCATTTAGCCTAGGAAGTGCACTTTCAGTATTCTGTTTTTGGGGTAAGGTGGGCCCATGGGTGCCCAGGACCAGTTTGCAGGCCAGAAAGTTCTTCAGTAAAAGTGAAAATCAAACCCATAGGCTTAATATTTATTTTACCACAGGCATGGGAAGTGGGAACACAGTCGTCTAGCATATTGGGTTGAGAGATACTGGGTGATTATGTGTGGAGTTAAACAGTACATGCTGGACTTTAACTTGGTGGGTTACTGAGTAGAGCTAGTCACAAGGTGGGCAAGCAGTTGGTGTAGGGACATGGGCACAAAGTGAAGGATAATGGCCTTTTGCCTACTACAGCCCAACTGATGAAGAACACAGGAGTGATCCTTGCAAACGATGCTAATGCTGAGCGCCTCAAGAGTGTTGTAGGCAATCTGCACCGATTAGGGGTCACCAACACCATCATTAGCCATGATGATGGACGTCATTTCCCTAAGGTTAGACAAAGAGCTACCATTGTTTTTCTCTTGTATCTCCCAATAGTCTATTCACTCCCCCTGCCCACTAGCACCTTTCCAGGTGTCTGTGTGTTTAACTTTGGTTGTAGATTTGTCTATAAGAGCTCAGGGTGTCGAGCCATTCTGGATAGGGAGAAGTTCCTTTGACCACCTCTTTATCTTCTTCCTATGCAGGTGGTAGGAGGCTTTGATCGGGTACTGCTTGATGCCCCATGTAGTGGCACTGGTATCATCTCTAAGGACCCATCTGTCAAGACTAACAAGGTGAGGAGGAGGAAAAAGGGATAGGATAGACATTTTGGAGAGAAGGTGGGTATTGGTGTGGAAGGGGATGAATCTGTCATGAGAAGCATGTCATCTTTAGCATGTTAATCTATTTAGGGAGGACAGTCTGTTTAAGCATCATAACCTTTTCTTTCTCTCATTTTCTGGAAAGGATGAGAAAGACATCAAGAGATGTGCCCATATCCAAAAGGAATTGCTCCTGAGTGCTATTGATTCTGTTAATGCTGCTTCCAAAACTGGAGGCTACATTGTCTACTGCACTTGCTCCATTACGGTAAGGCTTCTGTTACATTGGAGTATGGGCAGAAGGAGTGTGGAGAGGAAGCTTATTCTTTGGGACCCCTTCAGCCAAGACTCACTCCTACCTCTGATGTCATCTACCCCCCTCAGGTAGAAGAAAATGAATGGGTGGTAGAGTATGCCCTGAAGAAGAGGAATGTGCGGCTGGTGCCCACGGGGCTGGACTTTGGCCAAGAGGGCTTTACCCACTTCAGAGAACATCGATTCCATCCCACACTTCGCTCTACCCGACGTTTCTACCCCCATACACACAACATGGATGGCTTTTTCATTGCCAAATTCAAGAAGTTTTCCAATGCTATACCTCAGTCCAAGAAAAGTAAGAAATCTCTGCTTCTCATTTGTTCAGGTTCTCTCTGCCCACATAGTTATGTCCCATTTCCCTGTGTCTCTTGTTTGGAAACCTTCCTCGTATGCCTTCTACTCCCTATCCTAATTGATTTAAAGAATTCTTCCTGGTGTGCTTTATTCTTAATAATTCATTTCTATAATAGTGCTTTAAACTTAAAAAGTATTTTCCTTGCTATAAGTTAGGTGACAAAAGGTAAAGGTTAGAGTATCACCATTTTAATCAGGAAACTAAGATTCAAGAGTGGTTAATGTTTTGGCCAACATTCATACAGCTAGAAAGGATTCAAAACTAGGTTTTCTGATCAAGAGTCAAGACTATAGCAGACTCTCCTAGATGAGTGCCTTTTCAGGTAGGAATTTCAAACAGAATAGTACAATTGTACTTCTTCTCCCCCTCCCTGAACCAGATGGCTGTACTTGTCTTGTTTACATGGCTAATTAAATTGTAAAAGTTAGATTTGTGATTTCCCTTCCCTTCTGGATTGCCTGGCCTTGTCTTTTTTTTTTTTTTAAGCTGGATGATAACTTGGCACTTAGAGCTGAGAGCTATCAGCAGGAGGCAGGCCCGTTTAGTTTTGAGAACATCTAAGTTCTGAGGGGATAAGGGCTGGACCTGAGATTACATTGCTGTAGGGAACTCTGGGATGAGGAAACATCCTCTTCCATCTCTGCCTCTCGTGGTCCAAGAGAGTTGCCTAGACAGGTGATACTTGAACCTGGGTTTTCTTGGCTCTGAAGTGAACTTTCTACCCCTTAAACCACGTTAACTTTCTGATTTGTTCATGATACTTTGAAATTATTATTTTCTTGAGCATTTCAAGGAGGAGGCCTAGATCTCAGGAGAAAAGATAGTGTCTTCAAAAGCCAAGTCTTTGGTTTGAATGCTGAGAAATGTCCCAGGAGGTCCAAGAAACTTTTGGAGTTTTTTTTTTTATCATTTTAGTACTCTTTGCAAAAGTCATTGTAGTACGAAAGGAAAACATAAGGGTGCAGATAATACTATTTACAGTGGTTTAAGAGAATAGATATAAAATGTCATGCTTCAGTTATGTACAGCGTTGGCCCCTTTGTTGCACTTTACTTCATACTGGCCTGTGTTGGTTTCTCCTACTTTATCAGTGCAATGTCATCTAAACTCATCTAACCCTTTCACTCCAATCCCAGGTGATGAAGCAGCCAGCTCCACAGGCTCCAGACTCACCGATGGGCCTTCTTTGGATAAAGCCGAGGTGGTCCCCCAGCCTAAAATCAGCCCTAAGCTTGTCAAGAAGATCAAGCAAGCTGGAAAGGCAAGGGTGAAGCTAGAAACCAGAAAGACAGAAGTGAAGCTGGGAGCTGCAAAGGCAAAAGCAAAGGGGAAGCAACAACAGCAGCCTCCTGAGAAGACTGTTTTCCAGAATGAGAAGCGAGTCCACGAGGGCCCTTGGCCTCGTACAGCAAGGACTCCTAGTTCCAGCCAGCCCCCACCTAGGAAGAAGCAGAAGTCCTGACACAGTAGCCACTGTGGGGTCTTGAACTACCAGACTGGTGTGACTGTGGGCTTCTTTCAGGAGCTTGACCTCATCTTTGGGAGAGAAACCTTGTCTGACTTAGACACAGTCCAATTAACCCTCCCCTTCCTTTTGTATACACATAAAATATGCCCATCCCCACTCTGGCTGCTGTGTGAGGCTCATTATTGGTTTGTGCTGTATACAACGGGATAAGCGGTCCAGCCTGCTCCCTTTGCTTTGGGGTCGGGTGGTGAGAGTGGCAGGGCTTGATTGGAAACTATACCTCCTCGGGTGGTGGGGGGAGGTTTGTAAAGGAAAGCCCCCTTGGGGACAGCCTTGCCCAGCCAGCGTCTGCTCTATTCTCCTGGCCCTCTCCAGCTTTGCACCTGGGCTTTCCCAGAGGCCGCCTCGGAACCGAAGAAGCGGCTGTTAGAGGGGAGGGCAGCACAGGGGTAATGTAGACTGGCGCCAGGTAGGTGGCCCGTGCGGGGACCCCACACCAGCCTGGAAAAAAAGCTCGCTCCCCACTAGCGGGCCAGAGTCGGCTGCCCGCACGCCTCCCTCTGTCGGTCTGACACTCACTTGTACTGCCCCCGTCCCCTTCCATTGGCTCGCTCCGTAGTCCCGCCCCCATCCCATCTTCTCATTGGCTCTCTGCCCAGGCCGGCTCCCCGCCCCGCTCCAGTCTCCATCTCGAGGCGAGAAGCGGTGCGGCCATGAATCCGTTATTCGGCCCCAATCTCTTTCTCCTGCAGCAGGAGCAGCAGGGCCTGACTGGGCCTCTCGTGGGACCCTCGCTGGGGGGCGGCGACTACCTGGGCGGGGGTGGGGAGCTGCCTGCGGGCCCTGCGGCGGCGGCCGCCCCTCCGGGCATCCCCCCGTGGGAGCCGCTCACGCTGGCCGGCCCGGGCCCGGCTCCCTCAGCGCCGCCAGCCGCCATGGCCCTCCGCAATGACCTGGGCTCCAACATAAACGTGCTGAAGACGCTCAACCTGCGCTTCCGCTGCTTCCTAGCCAAGGTGCACGAGCTGGAGCGGCGCAACCGGCTGCTGGAGAAGCAGCTGCAGCAGGCTCTGGAAGACGGGCAGCAGGGCCGGCGGGGCCCGGGGCGCCGCGACCAGGCCGTGCAGACCGGCTTCATCAGCCCCATCCGGCCCCCGGGACTGCCCCTCGGGGCCTGGCCCGCCGCGCGAGGCCTCGGCTCCCCGGCTCGCTCGCCCGCAGGTCCGCTGGCGCCCACCGCGTCGGGCCTCTCGTCGTCGCCCGCCGGCGTGCTCGCCCCGGCGTCCGTCTCGTCCCATTCCACGACCACATCCACCCCCTACTCCTCGTCGGCCCGCTTCATGCCTGGCACTATCTGGTCCTTCTCGCACTCCCGCAGGCTCGGGCCGGGACTGGAGCCTACCCTGGTGCAGGGGCCTGGCCTGTCGTGGGTGCACCCAGACGGCGTGGGGGTGCAGATCGACACCATCACCCCCGAGATCCGGGCCCTGTACAACGTGCTGGCCAAGGTGAAGCGGGAGCGGGACGAGTATAAGCGGAGGTGAGGCTGGAGCAGGTGGGGCCGAGCCATCATCGGATGGACCCTAGGCACGGGGGTCCGCGGCGTTGGTATTGAGGGTTCCGGAGAGAGAACCCCCAGACAGGGAGGGTTTCCAGCCAAAAGGGTTTAGAGAAAGCAATGAAAGTTTCGGGGCCGGGGGTCAAGGGAGATGTGGACCAGGAGACTAGAGAAACGCAGCAAGGCCTCCCTCCCTCCCCTGAAAGAAAAGATTTTTCTAGAATCCAGAGGACTCAAGGATCAGCCCAAATTTCAGGAAGACTGTACAGGGAAGAAAGTAATGTAAAGAGGAAGGTTATATATGAGAAGCTCGATTTTTTTTCCTTGTCTTTACTTCCCCTCCCCTCTATGTTGCAGTGTTTGGAGGGTTATGCTAACCGGGATCTTAATAGGGTGTGACTAGGGAAATGAGCCAGGGAAATGTTTGTGTAGGGCTTTCTTTTTCCCCCTTACCAGTCTTAACTGGTCATAGGGCCCAGCCCTGGTTATTCTCGTGAGCAACTTGGGGAAAGGTACTTTGTGTTCAGGAGACAAAAGGAAATGGCATAAGAGATCTGTTTTATCTCAGAGACTATAAATTTAATCATTTGGGAAGGTGTGTTGGGGGCGGGGTGTTAGGACAATCTTACAACCCCATTATTTCCCAAAGTGGGGTCTGAAGATACTGGGACACCTGCCAGCTGGGTTCCCATGTGGTCAGTCTACAAGGCCAGAGGAGACTCTTGGCAAGAATCAACCAAGTGGGGTAAGTAATAGGGATTGTAGGGAATATTGTCTCCAGAAAGCAGAGGGGACTGATAATTGTTATTGGAAAAGTGGAGGCTTTGAGAGACAAACATGAGAGGGGGACTTCGAAGCTGGAGAAAGGGCCAAGTTAGAAAAAGTTGGTAAGACTCCATGTGGACACACCCTATGAGCATAGAGAAGTGAGGTCAGGGGTGGGAATGTCATGAGAGGGTCATACAAGTTGGGAAGATGCCACTAGAGCCCCATAGTTTAATTCTCTCAAAAGAACAAAACAAAACAAAAACCAAGGCTATGGGGCTCAAGAAACCCAGCAGAGAAGGAGGAAAATATACTTGGGTGAATCCCTGTATGTTTAAGAAGTGGTGATAGTTTCAGCATTATAAATCACTGAGGAGGAAAGGAATGTTGGTTGGGGGAAACTTTGTTTTTCAGGTTTCCCCAATGTTTTTTACCACTGATCATCCCCCATAGGCAAGTCTAGAACTGCCACTATGTTTTTGTTTTTAACTTAGCTCAAAGGGTTGTTGTGTTTTAAAATTTACAAAGTGCTCTATAAATTACAGCATTTCTGTATGGCAGGAATTATTGATTGGTGAAGTGATGGGTATGGATATGGCTGAATGTGTTCATGAATTTCAATTTGGGATATGTATGACCTGAAGCAAAGCTAAGTAATAAATGGGATTTTCATCTGGCCTGGAAGGGATCAGCTTTTTCATTGCCCCTCTTCTGCCCCTCCCTGCCCCCTCGCAGATCTAGTTCTGACCTCCTGTAGGGGAAAACCTATGCTAAATAAGTGTTCTTGGGGACTTACTTTGAGATCCTGGTAAAATATGGTTTAAGACTAGTTTGGCCTTGTGCTTATAGAGTTACATATAGTTGTAGTAAGTTATGGAAGGGGGGCAAGTTTTTGGATAGGTCCATCCATAACCACAGGGACAATTGGTGCTCTCCAGTGTGGGGTTTTTTTTTTGTTTTTTTTTTTTGGTCTAGAGTGATTTGTCCTTGGTCCAGCCGTCTGAGGCAGTAAAGAGTTACTATCCCTTGGGTATAGCTTTGCTAATAACACTGCAGTACCCTGATATGCTTAGGTCTTTGTAGCCAGCATTGTTTGGTATTTGATGTACATTCTTTTGTCCTTAACCCTCTGTCCTTTTCTTATCCTCTTTATATGAGCCCTCAGGATGTCACTCTAATCCAGCCATTCAGGCCCCAGTCTGGGAGGCAGAGGATGCATACATGTTGAAGTGATAGTTGAGGCCTCTTGGGTTCTATATTCAGCTTTAGATTTGTGTGACCTGAGAAGGGGCTTTTCCTCTCTCTGAACCTTAGTTTGGTTTTTTTTTCCCCCATTATAAAATGGAGAAAATAATCCCTGCTCTCTTTTCAGCTCAGAGACCAGTAAAGCTCTCTCCTAACAGTGCTTTACACATATCTCTTTAGAAGACAGGTGTTTAAAAAAAGAAGACAGGTGTTAAGAGGGAAATAGAAACTCACCCCAGAACCTAATTCTAAAGCTGTCCATAGGAACCCACATTGTAAATGAGACCAGGGTACAATGAAATTCTTTTGTAAACTGAATGGTGCAGGCAGTTAAAGCTGCTTCTTGAGGGACAGCTGAACAAACTCCTGGATGCTGCGTGACCACAGACAAGTCACTTAACCCCTCTGAGTGTCAGTTTTCTTATCTATTAACAAGGTATCAATAGTGCCAATAGTGCCTATTTCACAGGCTTGTAAAGGATTTTGCAAACCTTAAAGTTATTCTACAAATGTAAGCTGCTTTTTTGATTATTAACCCCAGACATCTTCAAAAAAGATGCTTCTACTACTAATTGCTGGGGGGTGGGGTGGGGAGCAATGTTATATAGTAGCAGTAATAACAGCATTTTAAGATTTGCAATGCATTTAAAACATATTCTCTCATATATCAGCTCTGTGTAGCAGCTGCTATTATTATCCCTGTTTCACAGATAGAGAAATAGAGGCCCAGCGACATTGAATGGCTTGTCTAGTGTTACAGTCAAGAGCCTGCTGTGGGGTTTGGATTCTGGTCTTCTGATGCTAAGTCTAGCACTCAGTATGCCTTGGTACTTCTCTAAGAGTAGAGGGATTAGATTTATTCAGTGTGGCAGCTCCAGAGCTAAAACCAGTGGGTAGAAATTATAGGGACACAAATACGGGCACACATAAAGTAGAACTTTCTAATAATGTGTTCCTTATTACAGAAAGTGTACCTCTCTGTCTGGATTGTTGCAGAGGGGCTTCCTGAAGGCAATGAAAGCTTGGATTAAAAGTACAAGGCCCTTTCCAGCCCCAAGAATTCTGCTTCAGTAACTGTGATCATGGGACACACCCAAAGTGTACCCACCTTGAGTTCTTCAATATGGCAAAGTCAGATTTCAGGGCATTTATGCTCAGACTGTTTTGCCATGTTAAGGACTTCCTCTAACTCTGTAATTAGGTTCCTCAATTTAGTTTCTTCCTGAATTTGGTAGGATTCATACCAAAACAGTGCTTTCTGTTCTCCCAATGCATCTTGTTCAAATTATCTTGTTAATCTTTACCTTCCTCCATTCCAAGGAAAATCTACTTCTGTCCCTGATAAAAAGAAACTCAGCAACAGCACTTTACCAGTCTTGATATGTAGCCTGAGTGGCATCGTATGGGGAACCTAGGTAAGCAGGAATTTGGGGCACGGAAGGCCCTTGGAAAGGAGTTTGAAGGGAGGGCAGTGAGCTGGTGCTATATAGTGGGCCAGCAGTGATGACAGCAATGGACAGGAATGACTGCCTCATCCCTGGTCTAGCTTGGGTAAATTTGTTGGGGTGGCCATGGAGGGCAGTCGAGATGATGTAGTGGAGTTATTATTAGGAACACTGCAATGCAGATGGGGAGTGAGGGATCTAGCAGGGGAAAGAGAGAATGGGCCAGATGAGAGAGGAGAGTAAAGAGTAGAATTACTAAAATGAGAAAAGAGAAGGAATAGAGAGAAGAAAGAGATTTAATCCTTGACCTACAGAATTTGTTCTGATGATACGTTTTTGCTTTCTTTCTTTGTAACCACCAACTTAAAGTCTGTCTCTGTATCTGTTTTCGGAGTGATTCCTTCTTTCCTCCAGAATATACTGTGAAGTGATGGACTAATATAGATGGAGAGTAGGTAGCTTGAGCAGGGGATCATGTTTAAGATAAATCTATCATCTCAGCCCAACTGGAAGTAACATTTGAGCCAATTTAATGAAATCATCCCCTAAGCAGTAATACCCATCCTGTGATATTATGGATAATCCTCCAGTAGTGAACAAGCATCTATTAAATGCTTTACATATCATAGACTTCAGGTATCTGAAAAACTAGCTCTACAAGATGTGATTTTCCTTGGCTGTAGGGCTAGGAGCAGCTTAAAGCCTGTTTTGTTATATCATTGCTTCTGGGTGATGGGAGAGGCAGCATGGCATGGTGGAAAGACTGATGAACTTTGGAGTCAGAAGACAACTGGTTCCAGTTCCTCTCCCGACACTAGCAGTATGACCATAGACAAGTCAGCCTCTCTGAGCTTCAGTTTTCTTATCTGTTAGAAAAGGATAATTATACCGGTAGTGCTTATCTCATTTGGTTTTAGGGGGAGGATTAGATGAGATAATGTATATAAAGCACTTGCAGACCTACAGATATAAGCGCAATTCTTACTGTCAGCCCCAAGCATCTACAAAAGATACTTCTACTGTTAGCTTTGTATCTCAATCAGTAGCCTTTGCCCTAAGGGTTGCATTTCTAATTTTGATCTCTTTTTTTGGGAATGATAGATATGTCTTTCTTTCCCTTTGGCCTGCACTAATCCAAGGTAGGTACCCCAGACCCCTTTTGTCCCTTGCTTTGTGGCCATAGGGCCAGCCCTGCTAACACCCCTGGGGCTCACTCAAAGGTAGGTGAGGGTGGGAAGAACTGGAGCTTATAGGTTTGACTTCCGAGCATCATCTGGATTTGCTGTTGACAAACTCTGTTGATGCGGTATGTGTCCTGCAGATGCTTTTACAGGGTTAAATGACCCCACAGGAGGCAGGGGAGCAGGCTAGAGGAGCTCTGTTCTGGTGCAGGCAGGAGGCGGGAGACCGGATCTGTGGAACTGAAGGTGGGAGACTGGGCTGGGTGGACCTGGTGTCTGGTGTGGGCAGGAGGTGGGAGCTAGGTCAGTGAGGCAGCTCATGGGAGCTGGGGCAAGAGAAAAAGTGGGCTCTAGTAGCTGCTAGGTGGCCAGAATGTGACAGGAAGGCAGTTGATGAGTTAGTCAGTCGCCAGGAACTGCTGGAGCATGCCAGTAAGGGCCACACCCAGTCTGTGGCTGCAGCTGAGCAAAACAGCCGAATTCAGTCTCACATGTATTAAGTACCTACTGAGTGCAAGGCCCTGGGAACACAAAGACAGAAATTACACAGTTCCTTACGAGGAGCTCAGAGTCAATTGAACTTCCAGCCCACAACTCCTCCTTCTTCAGGGAGTCAGACCTAACAGGCCTTACTCTCTTGGTCCTTAGAAGCTTTTATTGGCTTTTTGTGTTGACTCAGGAAGTACTGGGTCTGGGGGAAGGGGAGAAGAGGGGCATGTTGGAAGCAGGAGGATTTTGTACCCGATGTCCTCTCTATTCCTTCAGGTGGGAAGAGGAATATACAGTTCGGGTCCAGCTGCAAGAGCGTGTGAATGAGCTTCAGGAGGTGAGGGTGGCCATGCCTTTGCCCATCTCCCCAGTCTGACCCTGGGTGCAAGCTTCCCCAACAGCTCTCTTTGACTGTGATCTTCTCTTAGCATCCTCTGGCTGTGCCACTAATGCCAGGGCATTCTTCCTGACCACAGGAGGCCCAAGAAGCTGATGCCTGCCAGGAAGAGCTTGCAATGAAGGTGGAGCAGCTCAAAGCTGAGTTGGTGGTCTTCAAGGGACTCATGAGTAATGTAAGTAGATCTACTTTTGTCTCCTGCCTGCTTGGGAAATTAAGCCTTTCCTTCTTACTGTTGCCTTCTCTTTTATCTCTTCTCTTTTCCCTGCCCCTCAGGTCTAAGAAAGAAAAGAGAATAAAACAGTTTCCATAACATGGGAAATTCTTAGCAAGATAACTTGCTCCACCTTGTGTGTCCTAGCTCTGTCTATCTTACCTCTCTGGAAGAGAAGCTCCTTGAGGGGGAGGGCTCTGTGGTTACGCTGCAGAGGGCCCTGCACATTATGGTCATTGCTTATGTTTGTTGTCATAAGTATAGGGTGGCACTCCTCAGTCTTCTCTCTATTCTCTCTCTGCCATAGAACCTGACTGAACTGGACACAAAGATTCAGGAGAAAGCCATGAAAGTGGACATGGACATCTGCCGCCGCATAGACATCACTGCCAAACTGTGTGATGTGGCCCAGCAGCGCAACTGTGAGGACATGATCAAGATGTTCCAGGTAAGAGTCCCTTTTTGTCCTTCTAGACTCCTTCAGGGACAAGGAGGCCCTGGGTCCCAGGCTTTTCCCTAGTTCCATTTCTTCCCCCATATCCTGAGTTGGTCAGAGGAGGGTTGGGACAGATGGAGACATTGTTATCATTGCTAGCCTGGAGCTTAGGCCCTTCCCTCTTTCCTGAGGGTCCTTACCCAAGGAACTGGGGACATAAGGTGGTTCTAAGCCTGGGGGGTGGGGCAAGGAGCAACCTCTGAAAGGAGGTTTGTGAAGCTCTCACTAACACCATCTCTCCCTTTCCCTCTCTCTCTCTTTACCCTCTGTCTGCTTCTCTTTTCTTTCCTTTCATATGCCTCCTTTCTTGCTTCCCCCACAGAAGAAGCTGGTTAGTTTCAATCTCCTGCAACTCATTAATGCTTCTACCCCTGTTTCTAAACTAGCCAGGAGGTTTGGCTATCAATTTTGACCCACTTGGCTTTTCAATGCAATTTTTTTCTCTTTCTCTACTCCCTCCCCTCCCTTCCCCCTTGTCCTCTCTCCTTTACTTTCTCTTTTCCTCTTTTCGTGTCTCTTTTTGTCCCTTCTCTCCCTGGTTCTGGGTGTAATTAAAGGTCTCCTGTATAGAAAATTCATTTTCATCCATCATTGTAGTTATTAGTTCTGTCATTGTGTTCAGGATTTTTTAAAATCACTTTTTAGCTACTTCACATCTTTACATGGTCATAATCAGCCCACATCCCTTGTCTCTCTTTTCCCTACCTCTTCTTTCCCTGCCTCTCTTAATCCTTGATCCCCTCCTTTCCTATGTATCTGTCTTTTTGTAACTTTCCATGTTTCTGTACCTGTCTTTATAACTCTGTGTCTTTGTCTCTGCCCCAACCTTTCCTGCTGGTTTGTCTTTCCTTCCTTCCCCCCTTCTTTCCTGCCCCCTGCCCTTTCTCCTCACGCACCCGGCCTCGTCTCTGTAGTCTCTGCACTTGTCTCCCATTAAGGTCCCATCCATGGGGGGGCGGAAGCGGGATCGAAAACCTGTCATCGAGGAGGACACTTCCCTGTCTGAGAGTGATGGGCCCCACCAACCTGATGGGGAGGAGGATGAGAGCACAGCCCTCAGCATCAATGAGGAGATGCAGCGTATGCTCAACCAGCTGTGAGTCTCCTAGGCCCCACCCCTCAGCACCCTCTGCAGCAAGCACTCTTCCTAGAGAAGCTGGCGTTTCCCCAACAGTGTTCTCCTGGAAGAGCTCACCCACCCATCCATTTTTTACTGACACCTGGGTTCCCTATCTCCAGGCGGGAGTATGATTTTGAAGACGACTGTGACAGCCTGACTTGGGAGGAGACGGAGGAGACATTGCTGCTCTGGGAGGATTTCTCAGGCTATGCCATGGCAGCTGCAGAGGCCCAGGGAGAGGTAACAGCTCCTCCCAGCCTCAGGCCCTCTGCCTCCTCCTGCCTTGCCCTTCCTTCTGTCCTTTGCTCACTCTCTCTTCTTGTGTGACATCCTTCTTGTGCATACTTTATTTTCCCTTCTGCTGCTCTTTGTTCTTTCTGCTAGTTGTTTTTTTTTTTAAACACGTTTGTCTCTTTTTCCCCTTTGCCTTATCCCATTGTTCTCTACCTCTCTGTTGCTGCTACTACTCCTTTGCTTCCCTGTGGTTCCCAGCAGCAGGAAGACAGTCTGGAGAAAGTGATTAAGGACACAGAATCTCTGTTCAAAACCCGGGAGAAGGAATACCAGGAGACCATCGACCAGATAGAGGTGAGCATGTGACCTGTGGGTAGGTAAGCTGATAGACCCACATGGATCTTCTAAGGAGTAACAGTCACCTGGAAATTGTTAGTGCCCAGGGCCAGACATCACTGATCTCATCTTGAGGTGACGGTAGATTTCAGTGGTGTGGGTAACCCTTTCCTTCTGTAGAGAGAATATACTCTTATCATGACTTCCTATGGACTAGAAATTTGTCATCTCTTCACCAGTCTTCCAGTGAGTTTCTTCTATGCACTTAGTTAATGAATGAATGAAAAGGCATTTATTAAGCACTTTCTCTGTGCTTTGAGCAGCTTCAGATCCAAATAGAAGGTAAAGACAGTCCCTGCCCAAGAGCTCTAATAGGAGGAGGCTCTGATGTGGGGAGGTAATGGTCAGGGAGGGATGTTTTGGTTGGGAGGGTAATGAGATGGGAGTAGAGCTGCCATAGGGGAGCACAGACCTTTTCCAGGAGCAAGGACAAAATTGATTTGATTATGGTTCCACAGCTGGAAAAAGACGAGTGGTGGAGGGAAGGCATAGTAACGCATGGCTGGAGCTCAGACCTAGATGTACTACTGAGGCTGGCTACTGAGATGGCTACTGAGGCAAGCACCAATCAAGGCCTTGGGGCTCCACGGCAGGGGCAGCCTCTGCGGGCCTGGAGGTTGTGCAGTCCAGGGAATGAAGCTTGCCTGCAGTCTAGGCCTACACAGAGGGCAGTTGTGTTAGTCATCATCTAGGCAGTACTTAGATGGTTGGGCTTCTGTCAGAAGCCATGCCTGTTTCATAGAATCAGCCAGCGTTTGTACTTCAGGATGTTTTGATTAAGGGAGGAGAAGCCTCTTGCTTTGTCACAAGGGAGGCACCTTATTCTTCCCACTTACTCCCTTTCTTCCCAACTGCCATAGCACCCACAGTTCTGAGCACGGTTCAGTGCCCTGACTTCTTGTTCTGTGATGAGGATTGAGCCCCTAAAAGGCTTTCTTGGTGATGCAAAGATGGAAATCATGTTCCCTGCTGCTTCATCTTAATGCCTTTAGTGCTTTTGTAGGGGTGGAGGCTCTTTCATCTCTTCCTACAATATTGGGAACTCTGCTGGTAATTAGGGGAGCTGGGGCTCCCCTGTGCATAGGTCAGACCTGTATGGACTGTGACAATGGTTGTTGTATCTCCCAAGAATATAGGGAAGTGTTGGGGGAGGGGTGGTTGGACCAAATGCCTTCTCTGTCCCACATTATCTGTGGATAATAGATCTTAAGGATGTGGCCAGTGTCCCACAACTGATATTTATTCTTGCATTTTCCTTTTTCTGCGTTTTGACAATAAAATCAAAAGAAATATTCCCCTTCCCTTTTCACTTAAATGATTTTTTTTTTCTGCTGTGAAACTATAGGCACAACCAAATCAGTGACAGTGGCTGGAGTTTGGGAACTGATCGGCATTCATTCTTCTATACCTCCTGAAATGTTTTTTCCCTCTCTAGTTCCTTGTCTCTGATGGCTCTTTGGCTGTAGGTTCAGGGCAGTGTCTAGTCACATGGAGACTCAGCTAGTGCCAAGACTTTGGCCACTGTCTAGTCCTGGACCAAAGGCTCTTAAGCTCCAAACTTTTCCTTCAAAAAGAAAGGAAATAAAAGGAAATCCTAAATGCAAATACCACTTTTCAAGTACTTCAAAATGGGCCTCCCCTTTTTCATAGTACACCTCTTGGGAAGGATATTGACAAATGGCAGTAATGTGGATGAGACCACAGGGGCCTGTGGTCCTATTGGAGTTAGTTAAAGGGACTGAGTACATTGAGCTTAGAGAAGAGCAGACTGGGGGCATGGCTGCCATCTTCAATATTTGGATCTTTCTTTTTGGATGTCCTATAGGCACTTCAAAAACCACATGCCCACAACAGAACTCATTCTCTCTCCCCCATACCTGCCCTTTTTTTTTTTTTTTTTTTTTTTTTGGCAATTGGGGTTAAGTAACTTGCCGAGGGTCACAGTGATAGTAAGTATCAAGTGTTTGGTCTGAGGTCAGATTTGAACTCAGGTCCTCCTGACTTCAGGGCCAGTGCTCTGTCCACTGTGCCACCTCACTGCCCCTCATACCTGCCTTTCTTAAGAATTTCTCTGCTTCTCTTAAGGCAACAGTATTTTTTTTTTTTTTTTTTGTCACTCAGCTTAACAGTTTCATTGTCTGCCCAATGTTTGGTCAGGTGCCCAATCCTGGAGCTTGTGCCAACCATGGTACCTTCACAGCAGTTCTTGAGTTTGTCCCTCCTTCTCTCTCTCTCTCTCTCTCTCTGTCTCTCTCTCTCTGTCTCTGTCTCCCCTCACACACTCAGCACCGGGGTGGAGGCTTCCTCCTTTCTTGCCTGTACCTGCAAGATCCTCTTCACTGTTTTCCTCGCCTCAAGTCTTTCCATTGTCTAGGCTGCCAGAGGGATGATGTGACCATGTCACTCCTCTGTTCAACTTTAACAGCTTCCTGCTATCTTTATGTTCAAATACAAACTCCTTTGTTTGACATTTAAAGTTCTTCACAATCTGGCTTCAACCTAACTTTTTAAACTCTTATATCCAATCCAGCCAAATTATCTGTCTTGCAGTTCCGCAAGCACAGCAGGCCTGGAGTGTACTTCCTCCTCCTCTCAGCCTCTTGGAATCTTTAGTTTCTTTTGAGGTTTAGCTCAAGTACAACCTTCTACATATCTATGAGACCTTTCCTGATCTCCCTCCTCCCCCTAGCTGCACCTGCACTCCAAATTACCTTGTCTTTATTTTCTGTATGCTCATCTGTGTACCTGTTGTCTCTCTTGACAGAATTTTAGCTTCTTGAGAGTAGGGATTTTTCCACGTTGACTTTGTAGCCTCAGTAGCTAGCACAGTCCTTTGCCCATAGGTGCTTAGTAAAAGTTTGTTAATTGATAGATTGGTTTGAAGGGTTGTGGAATGGAAGGATTAGATTTACTCTGCATAGCACCAGAGGTCAGAATTGGGAATTCGTGAGTGCAAGTGGCAAACAGGCAAAACTGTAGAGTGGTGAGGGTTGCCCCAAAGCACAGTGAGGTGTTGGGGCTACTCATTGGAAGGTGTATAGGTAAAGATTGTGGAAGATGTCATCCAGGGCATCAGTGTTCAGGTAGGAGCTGGATCTCTCCAGTGCCCGCCAACTCTTAACATTCTATGATACAGAAAGGTGAGGAAGCATAAATTCCGGTCATATTTCCAGTAATTTTTCACTCGAGACAATGTTACTTAGTAAATGAGGATGAGGTTCTCAGAGAATAAGGTTAGCTGCTGAGAGTGTTGATAAATCAGGGTATGGATTGGTTGCATATTCACCCTTCACCTCTTCTACCTCACCCTTCAACCTCCTTAATGGTGAGGTCTATTTCATTATTGTCTTTGAGCCCTTAGCACAGTGTCTGGAACATAGTACGCAGGTAATAAATGTTCAGAGATTGATTCCCATCCCTACTGAAGAATATGGACATGAAGGAGAAAAATTTAAGTCACCGTTTATATTAAGTGCCTACTCTGTCATTCTGTGGAGTTACTGGAGAGAGCCAAAGTTTAGAGATGATATAAACTCCCTGCCATTAGTGGAAGTTATTTTTGGATCTGGACCTGAGATTTCACTACCATAGAAAATTCCCTGTACCGTTGCAGACAGGCACCTGTTCTACAAGTTGGTAGTCTGAGAGAATTGCTTGGAGCACTGAGAGCTTAAGTGAGTTGCCTTCCTTCAGCCCTCAAACCTCCTGACCACACCCACCACGTGGTCTTTCAGAATTTGTGACTTTCTAAACTATCTTTCTTGCCTGCTCTCTTGACCCTTTTCTTTTCTGTCCCAGTTTTCCATTTCCTTCATTCCCAGTTTGGAGACCTAGAAACCAACCATGGATAATCTCCTAGTTTGCCTCTGCTCTGAGTCCCTAGTCCCTTCAACTCAGTCAAGAGAATTGCATCCTGGCCGCTTTGTTCCTCTTTCTGCTTTGGTCTTAGTTCTTTGTTCTAGGCCCGGGATGCAGGCCATCATCCCAGACCTGTCTTTCGAACCAACTTTCAAAGATATCTCAAAAAACTTTTCTTCTGGGAAAGCTAACCTCAGTGTGTGTGCTTTTTCAAAAGAAAGCAGCAATAAGAATGTTCCTCCTAAGCCACAAAGACAAGATTTCATCTCTCTTTCTACGCTTCTAGCCTTGCAGTTGATTTACAGAAGTCATCACAGTAATTTTGTGTATGCCTTTCAAGTCAAGTCAATCCTGCCCTCCTTTATTGTTCTTCCAACTATCTCCATCTCTCTTTGGACTGTCCTTACTACCATATTAATAGAACATAAACCTACAGCAGATACTTAGCATTCCTCCATGAGCCTAGCTTCCCATGAAAACTAAAAAAAAAGGGAATAGTATAGTCAGCCTTTTTGAGGCTCACCCTGGTTCCTTTAAATCCTTGAGTACATGGCTGCTTAGTTCACCCCATCCCCCACTGGCAGCTGTCCCTGAAAGCCCATATTTGTCTATCCTGGCCCCTTCAAATCTGAATCCCCTAAGGGGTAGAAACAGGTGCCCCAGCACCCTTTTGGCACATGAAAACCGACTCTTGCTGCCCTGTTCCCTTTCCAGCTGGAACTGGCCACAGCCAAGAATGACATGAACCGACACCTGCATGAGTACATGGAAATGTGCAGTATGAAGCGGGGTCTTGATGTGCAGATGGAAACTTGCCGTCGGCTCATCACCCAATCTGGAGACCGGTAAGG